ACACACTTGACAGAAATACGTTGGCCAATAAATATACAAGGAAATGCTAAACAATGCTGGCCATTAGAGAAATGGGAATTAAAATAAAACAATACTGAGATTTATCTTACTCCAGAAGAATGGCCATCATCAAAAATTTAATAATAACAAATGCTGGTGAGCCTGTGAGGAAAAAGAATCCTTCTACATTGTTACTGGGAATATAAACTACTACAACCACTATGGAAATCAGTATGGCGATCCCTCAAAAACAGAAATTCCATTTGTCTTGGCTATTTTCCTTCTATGTATCTTCCTGAAAGACTTAAAGATATCACATTACACTGATATATGCAAAACAATGTTTATAGCAGCAGAATTCATAATAACTAAATCTTAGAAGCCACCTATATATCCACGACCAGATGAATAAACGAAAATGTAGCATATACACAAAAGAGTATTACTCTGCCATAATGAAGGATAACCTAAAGTCATCTGTAGGAAAATAGATGCACCTTGAGTCCATAATTGGAAGAGAAATGAATCAGACACACGTTTAAATATCACACATTTTCTCTTATATAAGACACTCAAAGTATAAGTAAAAAGCAAAATAAAGGATAGATGACAGGAAGTAGATCTTTCTCAAATGGTAAAGGGATGAAGAGTTGGCAGTAGAGGGAGGGAAGAGAAGAAAAGGGGATTAAAAAAAGGGAATTAAGATGTGTCGTATACATGTACCAACTTCTGACAAGAAATGTAAACATTGTGTACTGCAAATTACTGTCACTCATGTAATAATAAAAATGAATAAAATTTAAAAAAAAAAGGCAACATTTAAAAAATAATTTTAAAAAAAAGCAACAAAAATTTCTGAATGGTAAATGTGAAGAAAGCCTGGAGAATGACTCCAGAGGACCCAATGAGTGAATAAAATATTGTAAATGCTAGGTCAATATAAGGGAATATTTGCAAAGAAATTAGAGATAAGTACATATAAAACTATTCAGTATTTTTTAGCAAGAAATTCATTTACTCATGGGAGAAAGCTATGCAAGAAATTCACATTATTACTGTACATCATTTGGCTGTGAAGTGCATAGAAACTACATGCTGAAATGTAAATGATTATTGCTTTAGATGATGGAGGTAATTTAAAGATGCTAAATCTTTACTGATGCTAACAAAACATCTAAGAGATGAGAATCAAAAACAACTGAAGAAATTATAGGGTAAAAATTTATTTTAAAACATGGAAATAAACAGAAATAGCTAAGGTTTATAAACATGTTTGCTTCTGAGAGAGGAATAGGGGAGCATAGGAGTAGAAGTGTGAAGCAGTTAATTTTATTTCAAAAAATACTCTACAGTAAATCAAAAACATTTCACATAGAATTAATCAAAGAAAAATAAATTACTTGGTATTTCTGTTTTAACTTAATAGACCTCAAGCCTTTTGTATCCTATATATTCCAAGAAAAATGTTTTATTGGTAGTCAATTCATTTGTTATATAACTTTGATTTTATGTTTTTTCCCCCATTCTAAGAATTGTTGTCACCTTGTACAAAGAAAGATGTATTTCTCAAGGTTTATAAATTTGGTCACTGATTTATAACTTCTCTCTCAATGTTGTAATTCAAAGCCAACTTATTTTTGAGGATGTGAAGAGTTCAAATTAAATACTAAAGAGTGTGAGCCCTAATTGTCTCACAAAAGATTTGGTGGATTGGGGGTGCTGATTTACATCCCTAGCCTTTCTGTATTCTTTCAGAGAGGGTCTTGCGAAGCTGTTAAGTTGTCCAAGCTGGCTTGGACTTGTGATCTTCTTGCCTCAGCCTTCCAGAGTGTTGAGATTTATTTAGGTGTACACTACACCTGTCTCCCACGTAGGATTTAAAAAAAAAAAAAAGAAAAAAAAGGACTGGAGATTTAACTCAGTGGCTCTGCTGTCTGCCTCACAAGCACAAAGACCTGAGTTCAATCCCCAGTACCACCCTCAACCAAAAAAAAGAAAAAGAAAAACAGCCTGGGCGCCATAGTGAATTCGAGGCCAGCCTGAACTAAAAACAAAAAACAAAAGTTTCCTAATTAGGCCCTGATCTTCTGTATAATAATTCATCCTTCATGTGGTTAGAAATGAGTCCATTTAAAATATTGTTTTCATTATCTTTTCTGCAGAAGAACCTGTGATGATTCCCTTCCTCCTATGGGACTGAGCTCACTCTATGATATTTATGATGGATCCTAGTTTGCTCCATTCTCATCATCCCAGACCTTAACACTCCAAAATATATTTTCCTCTTCTGTAGGGCAAATCTTTCCGCCCTATCTTCAGAACATGCCTTTTTTACTGCCATCTCTTATAAATTGTGTCCCTCAAACTTGAATAGCTTCACCTAAATCTTATACACATTATGGTCAAGCTCAAATTCCACTACTGTCCGTCAGTTACTACTTTAGCTTGCACTCAAATTTTGCATCCTATTATTTGGAAATTGTGTTGGCTCGCAATTATGGGTCATTTTTTCATGCAATGCCCACGATAAAAGAGAAAAATAGGAACTAATATTTGAAAAACGTTTTTAAAAATTTAGATAAATTTAAAAGCTTGATTTAAACTCCTTCAAAATTAATCTTAAGAACTCTTCATCTATTGCCAATGAAAGGATTAGAACAGAGGTCACTGATACTTTCCTCACTGAAAACTACACTTTCTTTCTCCCAATATGTACAACATGCCTAGCATGATAAGCTTTCTGTGAGTGAACTGCTCCCCCACGCAGTCAGTATGAGGGACAATTCCCAGTGCATCCAGGAAAGTGTAATAGACTGCAAGGGAACGAAAGGTGCTTATACAATAACAGACCGGATTACACTCAAAGTTCATTCTTTCAAAGAAAATCAATTTCAAACTTTGGTATTTTGCTACTCTTCCCAACAAATCACTTGCTAGTCATACTTCTAGCTATTTTTGTGTCACAATACTACAGGGGAGTAAGACTGATTACAAAAACAATCCAATCAGCATATTATTCACTGAAGGCTAGTATTTTTTTTTAAAAAAAACCACTTGTACTTACTTTAAGGATATCCTTACTTTGGGCTTAAAATAAGGTGCGTTCTGGTCTGCCAAAAAGACAATTAAATCATTTCCTAAAAGAAACAAATACATTAAATCAGAAAGATATTTCCCGGTAAAACATTTAACATCCAAACAGTTGTTACAAACTTATTGGGAAATGTTTTCAACAAGAAACCTCTTATTCTGTTCCAGTTCATCTAGCTTAATGTTTAAAGAAGCACAGGAATGACAACTACAGAAAAACACAGCTGACCAAGACAAAAAGAAGCTAATGAATTCTGTGAAGTTTGATTGGTGAGCTTAATAGTACCACATAAAAATATGCCTTAAAAACATTATACTGTAGAAGGCCCAGGTCTTGTGTTTAATCCATAGTAACCCTCCCCCCAACAAAAACAAGCTAATAATAGAATTATACTGTACTATATATATTAGTCCCAACCTTGCTGTCATTTGTAAGGCTGTTTAATTGACCAGACAGATGCATCACACCTAGGATGCAGTACCTTGCACTGAGGGACTCTGATAAGGGTCAAGGACATAATCAAACAATGTAAGTACAAAAAGCTGATTCCTTTAAGAACATATTTTTAGGTTTCCTATGAAACCATTTCCCCAGTCCATGCTTTATTTCAGCTGAATTAACATTCACTGGGACAGACTTTTTAAATTGTTTAATGAAGCACAGGTTGTTTTTGAATTCAAGGAGAGGCTCTATCTAGCTTGGATGGCCTGGCCTCAGGTCTGGCCCTTCTTCCAATATAGGGCATCAATAAAAGGTGGGAAAAATATTCAGAGGCCAAAAGAAGCTCTAGGGTTCTCCCAAGGGCTCAGGATCCTGTTCATCAAGTTCTGCAACAGCTCTTCACTTCCTTCTTTCACGATCCTGACTTTTAAGTAACAGGTACTTCTGTGTGCACTGAACAATGCTAATATCCCCTCTAATGTACACTGTGAGCATCAAGATTTACAAAAAGTTCTTAGTGATGGATAAAGCACAGGCTTTCCAAGAACCCTGTGCTGCCAAAGAAAAATCTGAAACTAGGGTGGCGACTAAGGTGAGGAAGAGTCAGGTGTACAACACAGACTAGGCAGCTGATGTGGCAAAGAATCTGTAGTTTGAGAACCGTTCCCAAGGAGGCACTGGGTTTACCAATGGTTCCTGCAAAATGCTTCTGGGAGCTGTGGAGTGTTTGGGTCTTAGGAAGTCATAGTACTGTGTTTCAAAGAAAACTGAGAAAAGAAAAGGCAGGTGAATTAGAGCAACGGGTAGGCAAGAAGTCTTGTATGAGAAGAAATTGCCAATTGCATTTTATGTTCATCAAATGGGAAGGGAGATTTAAGTAAAGTAGTAGGTAATGAGGAGCCCTTAGGAGAGAAGGTAGAGAGAGGCTAACTACAAAGACCCCTGGGAATCTGGAAGGACTTTGGGAGGAAACCAATTTCACGAAGAGGGCGGTGCATGGGTGAACGCCGAAAGCGTCTCAAAATAAAACAAAACACAAACAAAACTTGGTGTGTTGGCATGGATTTCTGGGGGCAGGTTAAACGGTGGGGTAACTGGATCAGGACCTGGAGTTGGAACAGGATGCTGGCGATAAAGGAGGGGCACAAGGTTGGGAGAGTGGGGCCGGGCAATGCAAGAGGTCTAGCCATCCGGACAAGGGGGCATGGGGAGCACCGGGAGGGGCACACGGACAGAGGGAGGGGCGGGCGAGCACTGACTTTCCCGCAGCACGAAGAGGTCCGTCTGCTTGTCGGAGTTGAGGTCCCCGAAGGCCGCCAGGGTGCCCCAGGCCTCGGCCCCGAAGAGCTCAGCCGTAACGTTGTGCAGCGCCCGCACCGGGACCAGCCCGACTCCCAGCAGCGCGAGCCCCCACAGAAGTGGCCCCAGCAGCACCCAGGAGCTACGCAGCCGGCTCGCTGCCGCAGCCATGGCAGCCCCTCGGCCCGCCCGCGGCCAGTCGTCGCGCTTGACGGTAACCGCAAAGCACCCCACGGCCCTAGACAAAGAAAGCACGCAGCTTCGAGGCGAATTCGAACCGCTGCAGCAGATCCCTCTCAAGGTCCCCTAGGGAAGACCCTCTGAGGACCGGGAGGGTGGGAAGCTGGGGTGCGGCACACTCTCACGCTCACTTCCGGCCGGCGCGCCTCCCGACAGTGTCGCGCGCGGGGGCGGGGCCGGGCGGTGGGCCTGACT